TTAAAATGGAATATCAAACAAAATGGAATATCAAACAAAGCACACCATTTATGCCTTGTATCTGTGTGTAGTCTCTTATTTCTTAATGCAGCGTCAAAAATTCTGTTCCGTCTAACCTACTGGATACAAATGCTCCTTCAACCATTATATATCAATTTCCTCTCTCTAGGAACTGGACTTAATCTCCTACAGCCACCAATCAGATTCAAATGTACCCTTAAATTCTGGATCTGACTGGCAGCCAAGGGTAAATAACTCCAGTCCATTATGATATCATGAGCAAGAGCCAAGTCCCCAGGTAACATCATCTCTGATATAAAGGAGGATCAGCCACCCTCAAACTCTGACCACTTCCCTTCATCAGAGATCATGTGATGAATTAACTGGAGAGAGCCTGATGTACCATTTTCTCCTGCACACAATTTTAACCCAACAAGACTGTTACCATAGTTATATGTTAACGTTTGATTATGAGCCACTAAAAGACAATAAGAATTTCACCCATGAGTGGACTAGTTAGATGAAAAAATATGACTCCAGGGCCAATCTGCCACAATCCAGATCTAAAGTTCTCAAACGTTCAGCACAGTGTATCAAAATAAATCTGGAATTGAAGGATCACGACTGGAATTGGGAAATAATCCAATATACTCAGTAAAGGCTGAGAGGGTTGAACAATATATCTTGAACTTCCATACATTCACTTTTTCCTCTCGTGCATGAGCACCTATGGCACCTGCATTCTGCCACTAAGCTACCTGTATGCACACCTAACTCCTACTGCACTAAAGCAGTTTTCTTAAGGTGGCCATACATTGTACGATTTTCGTTGGGAATTTTTCGTTTCTGTCACGAACCCTTGTTCGATTTTGCCTACACTTCACCATCAAGCATAGTCAAATGTCAATTTCGGAAATCATTCGTTAGCCATACTAACCAACCAATTTTTGACGGACAGAAATATTATTTTGACCTATGCAGAGAAAGTTTTCGTTTGACCTAGGCAGCTTTCATTTTGCGCATGTGCTGTGTTCTTTAGCAGATTTTTGACCACTCATTCACTGAATTTCGTTGGGTCAGAGAAAATTTTTCCAAACAGACCGTACCAAAAATGTTGTTCACATTAGCAAAAACTATAATTGGTGCTATTACGATTTCCGAACAAAAATCTAAAATTTTGGCCACCTTAAGACTTAATTGGTCAGGATTCTAAATTTCAGTTTTAGGGAGCGTAAATAAAGATGATATACTCACCTGATCCTCAGTCACTGCAGCCTCTTCTTCACCCAGGGTCTGGCAGTCTAGAATCCATGACGTCATCACGTCCAATACAGCGTAGTAGACATGAAGATGTCGAAGAACATAACACAGCTGGTGTAGAGAGGGCAGAGGCAAGCAGTCACTGCCACAGGATGGAGGATCGGGTGAGTATATCTTCTTTATCATCATCTCTAGAGAAAAAAGGAGCAGTTAACCCTTGCAGTGGGGCTGCAAGTCAACACTTGCAGTGTGGGGGTAGCCACACTGCAAGGGTTAACTTGCAGCCCCACTGCAAGGTTTCAAATTCCTGGAGATCTTTTTAAAGGGGATTGTCAAGAAAACTAAAAATCCTTTATACAGCTTCACAATGTAGCAAGAAAAACAGGTCCCTACCTCCTTACATTACAACTGTAAAACTGCATCATCACCCACACCATTGTTGCATGCATGACCTGACAGACTTGGGTCCAACCAGTTTAATACAGTGGTCCCCTTTGCGTTTTAAGATTGTGCCACAATACCAGATATTGCAGGCAGGTAGTGCTGAAAGCTGCCTGTTCTGAGACGCTGCATGAGATAGAATCAAATTTATTTTCTGGAGAGAAATGTAGGTAGCTTCAACTGCTGACCTGCACTTAAGAATTCTGGTTTCCCTTGCTGCATCTGTCCTCAATATCCTGAGGGTCTGATCTGGAACAAATAAGAGTTTAAAAGTCATATTAAAGACTGAACTCCTGATCTGCATACTTGCTCCAGATCAGTTGCTAAGAAAGCTTTAAAATGACTGACTCAGCAAGACAGCCAGAAAGGTGGTCAGTAATTGCATCCTCCATATTCTCTTAGTACAGTTTCCTTTAAGTTCCTTCATCCACGCAGCCTCCAACATAGAGAACCCCCCAACTGCCCCTTGTGTGACTGGGAGGACTGCTACTCTTCACTTCTTCAGGGAGATGCAGTAGACACTTGGTGCTTATCCGGCTATGCTAGCAAACAATGCAATAGTGTGTGTTCTGCAAGTACCTGATATAGCCGTTGAAACCAAAACTGGCATTTGATACAATGCTGTTTTTACCGGGCAAGCAATACTTGCAAAATGTAGAATTGCAGACCAATGATGAAATCCGTTGAAGCTTATGAAATAAATGGCATAAGAAAGTATCAATCAAGTGCTGCAATCAGTGCTGCAATCATCACTACTGTGCTTACTGGGACCATCTATTTCAAAGCACAGTTTTATAGTTGGGTAACAATCCAAAGTGATTTTTACTTGGGCAGCAGCACAAATTTAACATGTGTATAGTTAAGCAGCAGGAAGCCTTTATCAGTGAACTATAAACCATAGCACAGCAGATACTAAAGGAGAGCTAAAGGTTATGGTCCACATTATGGATGCACCGATACCGTTTTTTCGGTATCAAGTACCGATACCAATGCCCCGATAATCAGGAAGTCGGGAGGCGGAACATGACCAGGCTTCCTTATTGCCTGGCGAAAGAACACCTGCTTCACATGCCGAGGCAGCGTAGCTTCCTAACCAATCAGGAAGCCGGGAGGCGAGACGTGACGTGCTTGCAACAAGTGGCTTCCTGGCTAATCAGGAAGCAGGCCATAACCCACCGCCTGGCTTCCTGATTGGAAAGGAAGCCGGCTCCATGCTTCCTTGGAAATGCCAGCCAGAGGGAGATCTCCCTCTGATCGGAAGTTCCAGTATCGGAGCATTCGGGCAAGTATGAGTACTCGCCCAAATACTCGGTATCAGCACCAATACCGATACTAGATTTAGCATCTGTGCATCCTTAATCCACATCAGATAATATTGAGCACCATACAGTGCTTTTTGTTTTTATTTTTTTCCCTGAAAGGTAGAGACTAAACACCGAGGCCTGCAGTGTGCAGCCAACATTGGCTATGCAGTGTGCAGCCAACATCGGCTATGCTAGTTAATTTTAGTCAAGCCATAGCAACAAATTCTTTAATGGGCACCAAACTATATACAATGTAAGAATATATTTCTTAGCCAGTGCTCTGAATTGGCAACATACTCCTGCTTCTATCCATCTGCTTATAAAATACCAATCCTAAACTCAAGAAATGTCTAGAGAGGCAACATAGCTCCCACTCACCAGCTGCATCAATACATTTTGCCTGGCCTTTTATGTTTTGATCACTAATGTAATAACATAACACATGAAGTCCTTTAACGCAAACCTGTCAGTTATTTCAACTGCTTAAAAGTAAGAGCCCTTCCTAAGAGCACACAATGAATACTTCTCCGAACATAGTTTTCACTTTTTTTTTGTTTTCACTCAGAGCTTGATTTCAGGATGAGGCAAATGGTCATTTCTCAGTCCAATGAGAAAACCTTTATTGGTCACCTTCATAGGATGGAACAGGACAGTATGTATCCCTGTATTCAGGCTGAAAACACAAATGTAATTATTTTCAGAGAGGTAAACAGAGGAGAGTTTTTTAGTTAGTAAAAGGTAATCTCAGGAACCTTTTGGTGTCATTGTGTGAAAAAAACGAATTCTTGGTACAGAATAAAAGATCTCAGGTATTCAATCAACCTTAGTTCAGATTGGCCTATTTTTACATAAGAGTTTCACTTTCTGAATACCTATATGGAAAGAATATGGAGTCTGCCATTGCTGATCTCACCTCCTGAAAACACTAGTTGCCTGCTATCACAACGTTTGACTTTATTCACTACTAAATCACTGACTTGAAACAAGCCAGCTTAAGATGTTTGACTTTCTAATCTAATCTTAGTGGCAGCTAAGCAACTAGAAATCTTAGGGTTTGTATATATGTGATATTGGGTCAGTATTGTTTTTCTCCATATACAAGTCAACGGAAATGCAAAAACGTAGGAGTTGGTCAGAAGCATCTCAAATGCACCTGAAAGCATGCGGCATTTGCCCATGTCCACAAGCCCTTAGACGCAAGACAGCAATGGCAGCCTCCATATTTCCCTCCCTATAGATTTTCATTAAATGAACTTATGAAGGTTAACAAGGTGACCCTTCAGTGGGCAAAAAAAATAGATCCCAAACATACACAGGGATCATTTTGATATCACTTTATGGGGTTACCTCCTCAGGTGGTAAAAACTCAAAACTACAAATGACATCAAGATTTTCTTCACTACATTGCATACGCACGATTATTTAGGTTACCAAAGATGGACCTGTTCAGAATTATATGATGTAAACTATATAGAAAATGTATGGGGGGAAAACAAAATCGTAACCAATCAGATCTTAAACTTTTTACAGTACAGGCTAGAAAATGAAAGCAAACATAGGATTAGTTGCTACAGACATCACGTCTCAACAATTATTACTTAAGATTTAAAGAAGGCAAGCTTGAGCTGATTTGGCTTCGCTCAGTAGTGTTTACAAGAATAGATTTAGGGGAACCAATCACAAACTGGCAATAAAGGAAGTCATTAGAAATATTACAAGTCACAACATGTGCGACTCAGTGGGGCTTCTTCTGAACTTTCGGTTAATTATTTAATTGCCTTTAGACTGCGCAGAACCATGGATGATTATTTTCCCCCAGATTCATCTTTAATGTTATGCTGCTTGTCAGCAGAGAACCACATTTTAGCATTGCAGGCATCAATAGTGCTCTAAATACCAAGAATTGTGTTTATAAATGAATTCCTTTTAGTCACAGGGAAGCTAAAATAATTAAGAATTTTTCTAACCCCCAATTTCACACATTTTCATGCAGCGAAAAGGAGTTTAATATTCTTTTAAACTTAGAAGAATTATGCAAAGGACTATTTCACACTGTGGCCCAGCCATCATACTACATATTTATACATATATATATTTTCTGTATAATCTTTCTTAGAACCTCTCAGCCATCATGAATGATCCATGGGCTCAGCTACATTGGCTATTTCTACATCCTGGCTGTCCATCTCTTCTTGATCCTCTGTTGAGGCTGCTGATTGAATTTTAGGCCTCGCAGCCAATGACGTTGGTAAAGAACCTTCTGCCTTACTGTCTGAAGATACAGGACTTATATTTGCATCCACAGTCACTCCTGAAGGACCGCTTCCAGACTTTGAGGAATTAAATTCTCCTTTTTTTGGAGAGCTATCAGACCCCGTCAATGTCTCTGCATTTTGATCCCGTAAGTGCTTATCCATTGAAGCTTGGATTGAGGAAACCATTTCTTGCAATTTTTTCCGTTGAGCTTCTATTATACTGGGATCAAGTTGCCTGCTATCTCTCATAGTAACTACACCAGGAGCTACTCTGATCAGCTCGCCATCACTAGCTGTTGAAGCAAAGGAAGAAGGATCATATATTGGAGTACTGTTAAAGCTTGCCGTACTGCTAGGCTTCGATGGAGCTCTTGTTCTTTGACTATGTTCTGGACTACCTGAAGCTGTTCCTAGTGAGTGCCCTTTGCCTTGAAAAGCTGTTACATTGTGATGTTGTTCAGACTTCTTTTTCACCACACCACCGCTGCCAAGCTTCATTAGTCCATGTGAGGGACTAGATTCCCGGCTTCTAGAAGATGCTTCGGAGCGCACTTGTGTCAATGCTTCTTTCACCAAATCTTCTACTTCAGGACCAATAGGGAAATGCCCTGCCGCATCCACACAAAGTTCCAACCTGTCTTCAGCAGCGTTGTAGACAAACGTTTTATTAGGCAGGTAAGGAAATGTGCAATGCTTTCCATCCACAACTCCTAAAAAAATATACAAAGAAGAATCATTTAAAACAGTAAGTGCATACTTGCAGGGAAAAAAAGATGGAGGCATCACATGTTTTGGAACATCTGATTCAGCTATATGCTTCATTCTTAATAGATCTTTTGAATGTTATATTTTGAAACGGCAGATGCTTATGTAAGATTCATCTGATTTCATTTTGTTGGCTTTGTTAAAGTGTTATAAGTATATTGTATATTAAAGTCAAAGGATTTTTAAGCCATTTCAAATGCTGATTAAATCATTTTCGATAGATGCGACTTCAGTTGATCCCCTGAGCAATGGCCCTGATATCCTTTTTTCGGGTGGCTTGTTTACCTTGCAGGGTCCTATTGGGTGTTAGTAAGTTGTGTCTCTCCACAAACACACAGGCATAACTAGGCAGGCCACTCCTCCTCTTCCTGCACTCCACACTTACCTCTTTCCTATTCTAAGCTAATAGATGGACAGCTGCTGGAGACTGATCCATCCCATTTGATCTATCCTGTACTGGACTGGAGGTTCAGAGAAGTGGAGCTGAGAGAGTTAGCGCTAGCGAAGGAGCAGTGAAAGAGAAACATTTCACTGGTATGGCTAGCAGGTGAGTGAGTCCTTAGTGCAAACTGATCTTTTAGCAATCCTGTCACTGGCAAGATGTCACCAGCCACTGGATTGTTCATCTGACATGGCCATAATGGGATCACAGCTAGGGAGTCTGAACCAAACCCTTATGTATTTAATAATCATATGATGGACCTTCAATCCGAGTGAAGCTTTCTGTTAGAGCGATCTTCTACCATTTCTCTGCACATAATGTGTAATTACATTACCACCTTTTTGCGTATAGTTCACTCTCTATATCCATGATAGCTTTCACATAATCTAATAGAACAAATGGTGCAAGATCTCATGACCTTGTGACCACTCCTGCGGAAACAGCAAAACAAAAAGTTGTCCTGTTTTGCCCTTTTTACACAAACATTTCCTGCTATTTAGAATATGTGACCAGATACAGACTTTATTTCGGTTAGTTATGAATTGATTTGTGTGGTTGCTGTTTTTTTGTGCTGGATTTGGTGTGGGGACACATTGCGGGCTTCAGCAGACATTTGTATGTGCTGGAACACCAGTGCATCCCTATGCCTTAGGCCAGGTTCACACTGAACGTTTTGTCGCAATAAGCAAAACGCCTGTCGCTCGAAAAAGTACATAAGCTTTTTTTTTTTGGCATATTACAGCTCGTTTTGGCCCCACAGACTAAATAAGAAACACTTGAAAATGCGCGTTTTCTTTGTTTTTTTGTGCATGTTTTACACGGGTTTACCCATTGACATCAATGAGCAGCAATCTGCTCACAAAAACGCACGACTTAAATTATGCACATAAAAGCGCACAAAAACGTGCCTCAAAAATACGTTAAAAAAAGCTGACACCTACCTAGGCGACAGTTTTTTTGTGCGATTTTTGCACATTTTTATGCGTATTTTATGCGCATAAATCAAATCGCACGTTTTTGTGAGCAGATTGTAGCTCATTGATGCTAATGAACAAAACACACGTAAAGACACACAAAAATACAGCAAATGCGTGTTTTCAAGTGTTTTCCATTTAGTCTATGGGGCCATAACAAGCTCCTTTTTTTTTCCAGCGACAGGTGTTTTGCTTATTGTGGCAAAACGCTCAGATGTGAACAGGGCCATATAAATGAATGGGGATTTTTATTGAGTGTTTTCTAGGGCAGAAAAGGCGCTACAAAATGCTCAGTGTGAACCAGGTCTAAAGGTGGAGTGGGCTCCCTCCAGGCATACCTGCAATAACGTATCCTTTGATATATATGGTCCAGGATGGAGGCTCCCATAGATTAGAGTTAGGACCACACTACACACAGGAGCATTGAAGAGGCAGTGTGTGGCCTCCACATATTTTGCAAAAGTTGTGCAACTAAAACCGCTGTTTTTAAACGCATATTGTTAGACAGTGTCATTCGTTTTTCATGCAGGTTAGCTGGTAGGTGTGCTGGGAAACTTCTTTGTTTCCACAGACTTTATTTATTTAGGTACCTAAGCAATACTTGTTTCCAGAACAATCACAGAATGCAGCCCTAATATTATTTTAGAAATATTAAAACCCTTCTTTTAATGGTATTACCAGGATAGATGATAGATAGATAGATAGATAGATAGATAGATAGATAGATAGATAGATAAACTGCATTCTGTTAATAAATCTAGTATTCAGTGCATCAGTTTGTTTGTTTTTATTTCAAACATCATCATTATTTATGTGTTTTATCACATTTACATGCAGACCTGGTTCTCTAGCATAAGTGACAGCGACATGGATTGGGAAAAACAAATACTGCAAGGGATGCTTTCAATGGTTGCCTTTCATTCTCATAGTTTAAATCCCCTTTACAAATAAAAAAAGTTTCTGCAACTACTCGAGCGTTCCTGGCAGTGTTTTAGGTGTCTAGTTGGTTCCACCCTTTGTTACCCTCACTTTTGGTGCATGTCATTGCTGACCTCCTCCTGAAATCTTAGCTGCCTCTGGCTTTAAAGCCAAGCTTGTTAAATAGCTAAATAGACAATTAAAATAGTTACAGGTAAATGGTTTTACCTGGAAGGATGTGTCATTTTCATAAGCAAGTCCTGTGATCCAGCACTCCTGCAAACAGACCAGCCATGTCTTGGACCTTACAGCGGACTACCCTGCAATTAAGCAATAAAGTCTGGGCCAAGAAGCACAACAGCCACACACTGATGACATCATCACTGTGGTCTCCATTACATGATAAGCTGAAAGCACCTTACAAAGCAATAGTGAACCAATGACTTAGTGTGAAGGGAATCATAGAAGGCTGATTTCACAACCGATTCAGGTACCTATGCTAGTTCTATAGAATAAAAAATGATAAATACATAACTGGATTTTTTTTAATGTCTGAAACTCAGTTTTAATACTTGGATTTTCTGATTTTAACATGTATGCAGCAAGTAAGGGCAGAACTCCAGGTTTGCACACTTGTTTCAGGTCAGCAGTAACTTAGAAAGCATTGAAGCCAAAGGCAAAAGGAAGACAGCTAGGCAACCAGCAGTTTCAGAAGCAAGTCATCAATGACATGTCTGAGTTCTCCTTTAACAATGATGAGCAGGATCCAGAAACATTAATAAACCTCAATGACAATTTTTTTCATGTTATACAATATAGAACATTGTAAGAAATAAGACCACTGTACCCATGTTTTTCTTCATAATATTGTAAAAGACACCTCCCTGCTGGAACAGATGTGGGAGTCCTTTAGCATAAGACCAAACGTCTTCCCCTGCAAGAAAAAAAAATATATATACATACAAAAATGAGTAACAGCACCAACACAGTGACCTGCATATTCACACTACCAAGCTATGGCTATGTGGATATAGCATTTAAAATGCAATCTTAACTAAAAAAAAAAAAAAAAAAGAACACTACAACTGATATGAAATGATGTTTACAATTCACTGTATTTCACTTATTTACCCGCCCAATCAGGCCTCCGTACAAAGTGGGAATATATAGTACATGTCCAAGGAGTAGGATCACATATTTGGATAGTCATTCTCTTCATGCAGAAATATTGTTTCGATGATCTGACCCAGTATATCACCATGCAATTATCTAGACAGTTTTGGATGCATTTCTTTCATCAAATGACCAATTATTCAAAAGGGTCATTTGAGAGAGTAAGGCCATTAAAAAAATTACAAAGAGATGTTTGAGCACAACACACACTGCACAATTTTACATGCTACATTTGAATTCGAACAGACTTCTGCTGGTCACTCATATGTAATATTAGAAAAACTCATCTTTATCCCGCTGGTTCTGGCAATACCAAGGACCAAGTCAGAAGTGGCAGCAGCTTCACCAATCTCCACCCGAACCTCTCTAGTGCCCCCCAAGTCAAATGCCCTATACTGTTATAACAGATGTACACTATATTGCCAAAAGTATTGGGGAACCCCCCCCAATCATTGGATTCAGGTGTTCCAATAACCTCCATGGCAACACGGTGTATAAAATCAAGCACCTAGGCATGCAGACGCTTCTACAAACATTTGTGGAAGAATGGGTCACTCTCAGGAGCTCAGTGAATTCAAGCGTGGTACCGTGATAGGTTGCCACCTGTGTAATAAGTCCATCCGTGAAATTTCCTTGCTACTAAATATTCCCCAGTCAACCGTTAGCGGTATTATAACAAAGTGGATGCAACTGGGAACAACAGCAACTCAGCCACAAAGTGGTAGGCCACATAAAATGACAGAGCGGGGTCAGCGCATGCTGAAGCGCACAGTGTGCAGAAGTCGCCAACTGTCTGCAGAGTCAATAGCTACAGACCTCCAAACTTCGTGTGGCCTTCCGATTGGCACAACAACAGTGTGTAGAGGGCTTCTTGGAATGGGTTTCCATTGCCGAGCAGCTGCATCCAAGCCTTACATCACCAAGTTCAATGCAAAGTGTTGGATGCAGTGGTGTAAAGCACGCCGCCACTGGACTCTAGAGAAGTGGAGACATGGTCTCTGGAGTGACGAATCGCGCTTTTCTGTCTGGAAATCCGATGGACGTGTCTGGTTTTGGCGGTTGCCAGGAGAACGGTACTTGCCTGACTGCATTTAGCCAAGTGTAAATTTTGGTAGAGGGGAGATTATGGAGTGGGGTTGTTTTTCAGGGGTTGGCCTTGGCTCCTTAGTTCCAGTGAAAGGAACTCTTAAGGCATCAGCATACCAAGACATTTTGGATAATTTCATGCTCCCAACTTTGTGGGAACAGTTTGGGGATGGTCCCTTCCTGTTCCAACATGACTGCGCACCAGTGCACAAAGCAAGGTCCATAAAGACATGGATGAGCGAGTTTGGGGTGGAGGAACTTGACTGGCCTGCACAGAGTCCTGACCTCAACTAGATCACCTTTGGGATGAATTAGAGTGGAAACTGCAAGCCCAGCCTTCTCGTCCAACATCAGTACCTGACCTCACAAATGCGCTTCTGGAAGAATGGTCAAACATTCCCATAGACGCACTCCTAAACCTTGTGGACACCTTCCCAGAAGAGTTGAAGCTGTTATAGCTGCAAAAGGGTGGGCCAACTCAATATTGAACCCTACGGACTAAGCCTGGTATGCCATTAAAGTTCATGCGCGTGTAAAGGCAGGTGTCCCAATACTTTTGGCAAAGTAGTGTATATGACTTCACTGTATGCACTAAAACTATTTCTCATCTACCACAGGAAATTACTCTATAGAAATATATAACACACAGGAGGGTGCCAGGCCAGGTTCACACCATTTTCCAGACCAGAGCGATTTTACCCCTTTTTTTTGCTTAAAATGGGATTACAGGTGCGGTTCCAGTGCTTTCCAATGTGCTCGCATGTGTTCCAGACCAGAGAAAACGAGACAAGCAATATTTTTCTGGTCTGGACCGGAACAGACCGCACTGGTGTGAACAGCCCAGAAATACCATAGGGATACATTGGGATGTTTTTTTGGTCCAGGAAAAAACTGTTCTGGTCTGGACATGATCCGGGCATCGTGTGAACAAGCCCTTAAAGCAGACTTTGTCCAAGCCCCCTCTTCTTCACAAAACACCTATTAGGGTGCATTCAGTCCACATCGAGATCATCTCCAGACCAGATTGTTTCCGGACCCAAAATGCATCCTAATGTATCCGTATGCTATTTATGGTCATATTATTGAAAAAGTTGACAACTTTTTCAATAATCGATTATGTCAATTAGTTGTTGCAGCCCTAACTGGAACTGCTCCTTAACTAAGATGGCAGAATGGAACAGGGCATGGAAAATCCATAATGGGGAAAAGATCAGCTGTGGGGAGCCTACAGGGGCCACAAACATGTTTTTATAGGAGTGGGCAAGGTCTTGGTGCATCATACCCTGCTATAAAATGAATGTTCCCAACCCTGATAACACATTTTCTGCAGTAGCTCATCCAACTGAAGTAGTAAAATACAAATATCACACCACCAGAGATTGTGAGAGATGTGACCATTTAAGTAAATTACCTCTACAGCCGCTACCAAAAATTACAACATCAGTTTTGGGTTGACTGATGCTTTGGGGTTTTAGAGAATACATTCTTTTATTGCTAACCAAAGAAAGTTAAGTGCCAGCTGTAGTTTCTTAGGTGCATTGACTACCCAGCTCTTGACGTTTCCTCAGGCCTAGAAATACAGCCGCCACTTTGCAGACAAACCTCAGAACTTTATTAGAACAGTATAAAAGGAAAAACAGATCTGCAATTCCACTGAGACTTTACCTAGGGCTCTTAAAGTGCACGCAGAAAGATATAATTATTTAATGTAATAATACTGGGAGATGAAGGCAGATAATGCACATTGTATTGATGGATTACTCTACATAAAACTGTACAGTCATCATCAAGACTTTTAATGTGGTTGAGTTCTTAGACACTTGCGGAATCTGTACTGTGGTTTTTGCTGACTATTACACAGAAATATCTAACTACATACAGGCGTGGAGATAACAGTTTTACTCGACATACTGATATTCATTATGATGAGAACTGGTGAGGAGTGGCCCTAAATAATAGTACATTAAAATGTGTGCTATGAAACAGCCCACTAATCAGATACAATGACCTATTTGACCGATATGTCTGTTGCTGTCATTTTGAAATATCAGCTTTAGTATTTTGGTACACAGTTATGTGGAGAGTTTCTGTCTCCAATCAGAAGTACTAAGGTCATAAATGTTCTAATGCAAAAGCAGCATGAAAGTAAAAAGCAACTTCTTCATTGTTTTCAAACACAGTCATCTTCAATGGATCCCTTTAAAGCATCATATGAAAAAAAATGTAATTAATTGCACCCTGAAAAAAAGTATATTCAGCTGTCCTGCCGCCAATCTATGCTCTGTTCATGCTGCACAAGAATCTTTTGCAACCTACACACGTCCAGTTGCGTCACTTGCCTTGTATGCTAATGTGTGCTGTGGAACTTCCTGCGAGCGCCTATGTCCCTATTGTATCCTGTAATGATGTAGGAGCTTGCAGAAGGAACCACAGCGCATGGTGGGGATACAGGCATCCAACATTCATGGAAGTGTCAGATATGAAGATTCTGCCAGAGGCTGTAGCTTTTCAAGATCTTAGGAACAGACAAAGGAACAGGCGACTATTAAAGCAGAAATGAAAATGGAAGGTGCACTCCTTTAACCTCTTGCCGTCCGCCCGTAGTAAAAAAACGGACGGAACTGCTGCATTTGCGGGTTGCTCGCACGCGCCCCCTGTTTGCTATTATATAGGGGGATTGTTATATAATAGCAATAACAATAAGTGCAAAAAAAAAAGTAACATAAAAAAAAGGGGAAAAAAACCCCCAAAATGTTTAACCCCCCCACCCCCACGTTTACGCGCCTATAAACGTAAATACGCGTCCGGTCAGAGGAAATTTTCATCTGGCCGTAAGTTCCAATATCGGGGAAGGTATCGGAGCATTTGGGTATACTCTGTATCGGCACTGATACTAGTATCGGTGCTCCCCTAATCAAAACATATTTGGACTGTGCTAAATAGCGCTACTCACTGGTCAGCGCAGTCATCTGACCACGTTGACCAATGAGTGCTTGCAATTTGCGAGCGAAATTCAAAATGCATAGGTAAGGACTGCGCTGGACAGCAGTACGGGGGACAGATAGTACACCCATACTGGCGGAGGGGAGGGATTGTTCACAGAGCCGTGCAGGTCCCAGCCGCACCGGGCACAGCAGATCTTGGGACCGGCAGCGGCAGTGACAGCTGCTTCTAATACAAGCGATCGGGCATCTCTAGAGACGCCCGATCGCTTGGATGTAAAGCTACTCGACGGGCTCCGGCGTCCTCTCGTCACAGACGAGAGGACGAGCAGATTTTTCAAGCCCTGAACATAGGTATTCATTTTTTTCATCTAGGATCATGAGGTTATCTGGGACTTTGATATAAAAATGCACAGCCACAAGTCTGCTGCACCATAAGAGTCAAAGATTACCAAACTAACAAGTCTGCTGCACCATAAGAGTCAAACATTACCAAACTAACAAGTCTGCTGCACCATAAGAGTCAACCATTACCAAACTAACAAGTCTGCTGCACCATAAAAGTCAACCATTACCAAACTAACAAGTCTGCTGCACCATAAGAGTCAACCATTACCAAACTAACAAAGTCTGCTGCACCATAAGAGTCAAAGATTACCAAACTAACAAGTCTGCTGCACCATAAGAGTCAAACATTACCGAACTTACAAGTCTGCTGCACCATAAGAGTCAA